TAGGGACTGACAGAAGGGTGAGGCATGGGAGGTGCGGGCGGACAGGAAGATGAGCCTCGCCGCCGCATTCATTATGGACTGTAACGGCGCTAGTTGGGAGCACGTAAGACCACTGAGAAGTGGATTACAGTAGTCAAGGCGAGAAAGGACAGTGGAATGGACCAACACCTTAGTCGCATCTGGCGTTAAGTAGGGGCGGATGCGCGCAATGTTTTTGAGATGGAAATGACAGGATTTGGCGATAGATTGAACATGAGGCTTGAAGGAGAGGTCGGAGTCAAAGAGAACACCTAGGCAGCGAGCCTGCACGGTGGAGCTGATGGTAGCACCGTTGACTTGGAGGGAGACAGACACAGGAGTAACAACACTTGAGGGAGGAAAGACCAGAATTTCAGTTTTGGTCAAATTTAGTTTAAGGAAGTTGGCAGCCATCCAGTTAGAAACAGCAGAGAGGCAGTCAGAGACACTAGTCAAGAGGGACGGGGAGAGGACAGGTAGATTTGCGTGTCATCTGCATAGAAATGATATTGGAAGCCAAAGGAGCTAATGAGTTTACCAAGGGAGGCAATATATATGGAGAACAGTAGGGGACCAAGGACTGAACCTTGGGGGATACCAACAGAGAGGAGTTGGGGAGAAGAAGCAGAGCCAGAGAAAGAAACACTGAAAGAGCGCTGGGAGAGGTAGGAGGAGCACCAGGAGAGAGCAGTATCTTATAGACCGATATTGCGGAGGATGAGAAGAAGCTGTTGATGATCAACATTGTCAAAAGCCACAGACAGGTCAAGGAGAATTAGGATAGAGTAGTGACCACGAGATTTTGCAGCGAGTAGATCATTGGATACTTTGGTCAGTGCCGTTTCCACAGAGTGCTTAGCGCGGAAACCAGACTGAAGTGGGTGTAGCAGAGAGTTGGACTCGAGGAAGTCTGTCAATCTCGCATACACAATTTTTTCAAGGATCTTGGATGCAAAAGGCAGTAGCGAGATAGGACGATAGTTGGATGGGGAGTTAGGGTCAAGATTGGGGCTTCTTTAGAATTGGGGTTACAGTTGCATGTTTGAAGGGCAATGGAAATATACCAGAGGAGAGAGAGAGATTGAGAATTTTAGTGAGAGGTGGAGAAAGAGAAGAAGACAGAGTACGGATGAGGTGCGAGGGAATTGGATCTAGGGAGCAGGTGGTGGGGTGGGAGGACCGGAGCAGAGCAGAAACCTCTTCTAATGTAGCGGGTGCGAATGAACATAGAAAAGCAGAGGGAGTGAAGTTAGGGGAAGTATTGTAAGGGGAAGAAGAAAGATGAGATATCTCTTCTCTGATTGTAGAGATCTTGTCAGTGAAGTGAGTTGAAAAGTCTGAGGCGGTCAAGTTAGTAGTTGGATGAGGAACAGCAGGGCGAAGAAGAGAGTTAAATGTGTGAAATAGTCGTTTGGGTTCGCGGGAGAGTGTGGTTATGAGGGTATTGAAGTAATTAACTTTTGCAGAGGAAAGAGCCAAGCTGTATGAGCTCAGCATAAATTTATAGTGGAGAAAGTCAGATGCACAGTGAGACTTTCTCCAACAGCGTTCAGCAGTTCTGGAGCATTTTTGGAGGTATCGAGTGAGCTTGGTGTGCCAGGGTTGTTGTTGGGGGGGCCTGCGGCGTTTAAATGTACAAGGTGCCATGATGTCTAGTTGAGAGGAGAGGGTGGAATTGTAGAAGGAGGTTGCAGAACTAGGACAGGTGAGGTTTGAGATAGGTAAAAGGAGAGTTTGGAGATTAGTGAAGAAATGCTCTAGGTCAAGACATTGGAGGTTTCTGTGAGAGTGATGTTCAGATGGTGGTGTCAATTGGGTCTTGGGTATGCCAATGTCAAAAGTCAGCAGATGGTGGTCAGATAGAGGAAAAGGGAATATTGGAGAGATTAGAGGCAGTACAGAGGTTGGTGAAGGCAAGATCAAGAGTGTTTCCTGCTGTATGGGTTGCTGGATTGGACCATTGCGTAAGGCCAAAGGAGGAGGTTACAGAAAGCAGATGAGAGGCATCAGTGCAATTGGGGTTATTGATTGGGATATTGAAATCCCCAAGTATAAGGGAAGCAGTGCTAGATGAAAGGAAGTGTGGAAGCCAGGAAGAAAAGTGCTCAATGAATAGACTAGGATAACCCGGGGGCGGGGGGGGGGGCGGTAGATGATTGCCTATTTAAACCCACTCCTTTAAGAATTGCTGACAGTGTGACATCCTATCTATCTCTATCTATTTCTATCTATTCTTATCTCTTTCCGTCTATCTATCTATCAGATCTATATACTCAGATGGCACAAGTTTAAAGACATTAGGGAATATTTGTATCTAATATTCTATATTTCAGTGGATTTAGGATATTGTTTCATCATTTTTATTATTAATTATTAATTATTTTAATTACTAAGCCAATTTTGCATTCAATTGTTTTCCTAGTAATGGATACAGAGTTAAACATGCGGGATTGGAAGGGGGCAGAGCCTGACTGCTATGCGGAGAAGTCGCATCCACCTGGAGCTCCATGTATATAGCTGATTTTAACCTTTTTCAAGCCTATCAGATGGCCTAACCGGGATTCCACGTTGCTCCATCGTAACCTAGTAGCCATCTCTTGGGTGCTTTGATCAAATATGTGATGCATTCTGGAAGTGACTGCAGGAGACTCAACAGGTCACTGTCGAAATGGGAAAATCGCAACAATGGCCTTCTAACCCTCACCCTAGTTATACAATGCAAGCCCCACTAGACCCTTCCGAAAATGCTTCAAATGGCTGAGCCTCAGGGATTCCTCTGCCCGGCGGGATCGCCAAGGCAGCGGGACCAGGAGGCGGTGAAGAACTGACACCCCTGAAGGTTTCCTCATAAATATGGGACAGGTGTGACAGCGCATGTATCATGGAGGCTGACTCCCAGCATGGCAGGCAAATAGTAAAAGACACAGGAGACATTCCAAGGTTCACTATGGTGCGTTTATTAGAGGGTAAGTCTCCTCACAAATAAGTGCAACGTTTCGGCTCTATGGAGCCCAAATCGGTGGGATCTGGCCGTGGCTGCTTCAAAGCCCTTACTTGGAGATCATTCTGCAAGTCTCCCGGATTGGCATAGGATGAACAGCAGTGACTATTCTGTGGACTTGCCTTATGCAAAAGAACAGTTTTGCAGGGCCGACCAACCTTCACTAGTTTGTTTAGTTTTGTTTTGATGTCCTGCCTTACAGTGCTAATTTTCTTTTCCTGTGCTTGCACTGGGCCTCTAGTCTTATATCTATTTGTCATAGGTTGAGGGAGCCTCTGTAGCCGACTCTCACTTCAGTGGCTGTGGATGTACACTAGCCTAGCATATTAGCCTAGCATAATCTACTCTATTGCCAAGTTTTTGCGAGTAGCATACTCATTGTATACTTCTGTCTATTATCTCAACATAAAAGAAAGTGCAGCATTTATTATTACATTATCTTCTACTTGTGTGATGTATATTGAAAAGCCTGTTGCTGCTAAATTGTCATTGTAATCTTGCATGCCTAATTCTGCACTACACAAATAAAGAATAAAAATAAAAACATTGTCCTTTTCTAGAGATGTTGCCCTTCTCTTCCCATAAGAGAGAATATAAACTATATTGTTGTTACTTTAAATTCTTTGTCTTTGATAAGCTATAGATTGCTACCTTAATTTCCTTTCCAGAAGCTTAATGTTGTCTTAAATATGCTAGTTTTCTTCCCAGTGTTTCTACTCTATGGTATATTTAATGTGGTTTACATTTTTTATTTTTTTTATTAATACCTGTATTGTACATCATACACTTTATAAACATATATTCCAATGTTCTTGGCTTATTTTCCCATTTACATTCTCGTAACAAATATAGTATAAAATAAAATTAATTTAAAGACAACATTAAATTTAAAACAAAATAAAAACTTTTTGATTTTATTTTTATAGTTTTATTTGTGTTTCTTTATGTCACAATTTAAATCATTTCAAAATTATCATTATTAGTAGTAATATAATTTTTTTATATAACATTATATTCCACAAGCAACATGGTAGATTTTGACAGTCCTGCACAAAAGCTTACAATCTAAAGAAATGTTCCAAAGAACATAAATCATTTTTTTTTTTTTATCAATCTACAACTGTAAGAATGAAGGAAGCATCATCCAATCTATCACTGTTCTGTCTATCTGTATGTCTTTGTGACATAGAATAATTTGTCCCAACTAAAAAATTGGGTAAAATTTGACAGAATTTATTATTTTGAAGGGTTAGTATTCCATGCCATATTTTGCAATAATAAATTTGAAGAGTAGAGATGTCGCGAACCGTCCGCGACCTTCTCGCGAACGGCTCGCCACGGTTCGCCACGAGCTGTTCGCGGCGAACTCCGGTCAGCTGACACGTCCCAGCCAATCTCCAGCAGACCCTCCCTCCCAGACCCTCCTACTTCCTGGACAGCATCCATGTTGAGAAGTTCGCGGACGGTTCGCGACATCTCTATTGAAGAGACAGTCTTAACATCATAACAACTTTCCATAACTGCAAGGTTTTTGGCGCAGAGACTACCCTCTCGGAAAGTGACTTATAACTGCAATGATTTGTAAAATAATCAATGTAGCTGTAAGCCGACCCACCAGACCTGTCACTCAGGAAGTTGGAACATTCAGTTCCGGGATGTCTGTGTCAGTGTTGTTTGTATTGTGCGCTGCATGCAGTATGTGCATGCAACTACTTGTACTGTATAATAAATAAATAGATCTGGATTTATAAGTACTTCCTGCTAAAAGATGGTCTGTCCGCTACTGTGTTCAGGCAAGTTTTAATGGGAAGCATTAGAAATTTGAAAAAGGGTTATTTATTCATTCATTAATTTAATTAATTATTTATTTTGTTGACATAACTTTATTTAGTTTATTATCTATATAATGCATTCTGGAAAGAGGGACTCCATTTTCAAGTCTTCATTCCATTTAAGACGGAACATTAGGTAAAGTTCCGTTTTAAACAAGTGCATTGCTCTTTTTTAAGGCCTTAATAAAATAAAAATGTTCCAAATATGTTGTATCATCGCGCATTTTGCTTTCTTTCACTTCCAGGAGTTCGATAACAAATCCTGCTTCTCTCATAATGTCCTCTACAGACTTTTTATCAGTTGCTAATAAGTGAAATTTATTCTCCCCTATGGTGTAATATTTTGCGTTAAATAATCCAAATAGCAGCAGATGCCCACCCAGTTTTAGCATTCCTGACACTTTTTTCAAGTTCCTGCTGTAGTCATCTTGATCGTCAGAAACCAAGTGCAAGACGTACATACTGAGCACGCAGTCTGCTTTTGGTAGAAAGACTTCTTCTGTAAAGGTTTCTTTGGTGAAATCACATTTTAAAATGTGCGAGATACTTCTTCTTAAAGCGTTTTCCGTTTCATTGCCCTTGAAGCTGAAAAATATAACCAGATGGCTAAAACTTTTATACTGACATATAATGGAGACCAAGGGTGCCCAAAAAGGTAGATCCACAGATGTTTTAAAGCTACAGCTTCCATGATTTTATGTCATTCTAAAGGCATTCCAAAGGCATGCAAAGCATCATGGGAGTTGTAGTTCTACAACATTTGGAGATTTGGGGAACTTTTGGGCACCTCTGATTTAGACACATTTACCATATAATCTGTAGCATGTCTCTATAAGGAGCAAAATCAACATATTTATTAGACTTGTGCAAACGATCGGCTCGTCCATAAGCAAATTGATTTATTTGACAATGAACTGATTTTTTACCAAAGCCCCTTAACTCATTTTAATTGGATGAGCTGTTTCCGTTCGTTTTGTATTTCAGACCTGGAATTCTAAATATTTTCATAAGAAATTGATTAGTTTGAATTGAAATGTTCCAGACATACCGGTTTGTATTGATATATAGTTTTTATTTACCAATGCCAAAAAGATTATTTGAAATTCCATGCAATATATAATTGATATTAAATGCCATGCAAAGGCTTGCAACGCTAGGCACACAATGAATGGTGTGGAGTTGTATTGCTAAGCTACGTTATAAAAAGGATGGACTAGCAGCACTGCTATATTTTCTATTTACATCATGTGAGGTCACATTACTAACCACGTATGCATGTGGCATATTTTCATAGAGCAGATATATCATATGCATTGTGAGTATATACATCAAAGCGCTATCACTTTAATTGTTTTGTTTTTACACTGCGTTGTTTTTTTAGATTGTGTTTATCACTTAAATTTTGCATTATACATATTCACAATGCTCTTGAAACAAATTATTAAAATACATTATAGCATATTTAGCACTGGCACTATTAAATTTGTCTCCCACATTTTAATTAGTGTAGGACCCACAGATATTGTAGTAGTGGTGGGCATAACACTGAAACTGAATCCCCATTTGTTTTCCCGCTGAGATAGGCGATTATAAGTAGCCTTATAAAATGTAAAAAAATATTTTTATGTGATCAGAAAAGTTTATAGACATGTATTATAACTATATACTCATCATAAACATGGCCATTAGCTTGATCCTTACCTTGTACCTTGCAGTTCTGCCATAATTGATAAGGCATGTGTCCAGTCATAGCTTTCTGACTCCTTATTTTTCCATTCCTTGAGTTCTTTCACACAGAGATCACTAAATTCTAAAATAGTGATGTCTTTGAAAAACTCAAAAATGGGTAATAGATGGTAAATAGCAGGGCCAACGGAAATATCAATCAAAAGTTCTCCTGTAATTTGACCTGCAGAGAAAACACACATCATAAAATAGTAAACAAATAAAGAAAAAACCCACCCAAAATTATTTTTCTTTGTTCATAATTTGGTTCTCACATGGATTAAATTGGAAGAGCTGACTTTTCTTAGTGCATTTTGAATATCAAAGAGTATTACTATTAAATATTTGGAAGAGCTGACTTTTCTTAGTGCATTTTGAATATCAAAGAGTATTACTATTAAATATTTCATATAACTAAATGTTCTTAATCTCATCCAACTCCACCTCCAAGATAGCCAATGGGGCTTTTTATGATTGACTGAGAATTGAGACTACCATTAATTGACAGACTTTTAAAATAATAAAAAAAAAAAAACTTTTTGGAGAGTTATAGCACTATACACTTTTTTTACTCTAACAATATTCATTTCATATAAAGTGTGTCAGACTAGAAACAGATGTTATGCTAAACATCAGTTTTCCCTTCTTGATACATTTCACCTTACCTATAAGAATGATTAATGCTTCCATGTCATCTATTGTTCCTTCAATATAAGTGTCATTGTTTGCAAATATCTGTATACACTGTACAGCCTTGCAGACCACCATAGCAAATTTCATTAGGATGGGCACCAAAGGAAATATATTTATTTTTTATGAAACACATTTGTATTCATTAAACAAATGGAAATTTAAGAGTCATTCTACGCTCTCTAACCACTTATTACTGGAGTGGTTATTATCCAAAAACCCTTGCCCTGCAGCCTTTCATTAAAAATATTTTTTTTGTTGAACTGAATTGACTGCAACCAATCTTATGGGCTGTATGATTGGTGGGAACTTAGAGTAATGAGGGGGATCTGGTGCAGAGACACCACCCATGCCTTTCACCAATTGCAAGAAAATAAGGGGCTCATTAGATAAACGGCAGGCTGCTGGGGTCAGCTTCCCTGCACTTTAATTCTTAAACTCTCATCAATGTGTAATAGGTGAGTGGCTTGGGGAGACCCGCTACTAAAACCCCCCTCGAGAAGATGGGGAGAAAAAGTGGCCTGCAATTACACTGACAGCGTTTGTAACGGAGCTCCTTGTACTTCGACTGAGTACCCTCCGTTGACGGATGCTCCTAGCGCTTCCTGAGGACTCCAAGCACTGCAGCAGACACCACAACCACCGCAGACTCTGCAACCGCCATCTTCTTTCCTGGAGTCTCGCCGTCTTCCTTCCACCCTGGATCAGCTTCTGTCCTCCAGGACTGTGTGGGAAAGAACTCTTCCTTCCACCCTGTATGAACCTCCAGCATCCAGGACTGTGTGGTGAAGACCCCTCCTCCAAGGACAGTGTGTCAGGAACAAGCTCTTAAAAGAGCTAAGTGACTCAAGCTCAGGGGAGCATGCAGAGCATAGCAATCCCCAGTGTGATTATAACAGCTCCCTCCAATAACGAGACAAGGCTACGTGTAGAGGGATCAAGAAGAACTGTCAAAACCTTTATTTCCCTTGGGACCAGCCAATAGGGTCACCACAATAACATTGTTGTGAAACCTCAATAAAATCACAAACGGTCAAACCATATCAAGCAACACACAGTGACTTATGACAACACAATGGCACATTTTTAAAGGGGTGGGGGGAGACAATATTTAACAGTAAATATCTCACCTGCCTGCAGAATTAGCAATATGCAAATCTACCCGAATATGCAAATGAACCAGTCTTGCAATTCAGGTAGTGCATATTGCTGTTGCTACCAACAGAGGGCACTAGACAAGCTCCATAGCCAAACCCACCTAGTTGGTAGCAAACCTCAGCAATACAAGAGAGCAGGCAATACATTACACAGTACACACACACACACTATAAACAATTACATTACACACACCCTGCACCTATAATGGGTACAGGGTGACTAAAACATAGGATAAATAAAGCAGCCTACATAAATAGTCTGTCTGAAGGTAGACTAGGGGCTTTAAAGCCAGATACGTGAAAGAGTCATAGTCACAGGGGAGGAGGCTGGCAAGTAGGCCTCTCCAGGACCAAGTGGCGAAGGGCACTTCGTCACAGCGTTTACCCCTAAATCATTGGCAATGGGTGAGGGACATAAGTTCCACCCAATCACACAGCCCAGAGTATAAGAAGAAGGTTAGCAGTGGGCAGCCCTACTCCATTTAAACCACTCATTCATCAGCGGTGAGAGATTTCAAATGTAAAAAATGTCAAAATCTGGATGAACTAGACATGGTCTAAATTGGGTTCATCATTTGTTATTCTTTTTGTAGAATTGTTTCAGATTAAACTGATAAAACTGTTCTTGATGTGCCCAAATATATTGCACACTTGCCGTAAAAGTACAAATGAGAATGTGTAGCATTTCTTTTTTTATCTTAATCTTTTGTTATTGAAAAAGATAAAATGACATAAGACAAAAGACATGACATATATATAGTAACAACAACAAAATTACAACACAATTACGAATCTTGCACAGGGATTAGTTGCATGGTACTTAGACTTTATAATTATAAAAATATGTTTCCAAATCAATTAACAATAATGTTCAGAGATAAGTAGATTCCCAAAGAGATTGAAACTTGTCCAATAAACCTTGAGTATGATCAAATAGAGCTTTTTTCTCAGTCATAGCCCGCTTACATCCTTAACTGATGTATAAATTCCGTGGAAGTGACTACGGCCGTCTGCTTCCAATTTCTAGCTATAAATAGCTTGGTAGCAGTCAGGACATGTATAGTTACTAACAAAGATTCTTCAGAAAATTTTGTTATCAAATATGTGAAATAAAGCGAATTCAGAACTAAAATTCAGTAAGGTGACTCATAGTTTCATCAGAAGCCTTAACAACACAATCTAGAACTCTTTTACTACTGAGCAATGCCACCAGACATGTAAAAACATATTCTGCTCGTTACATCTCCAGCAAATATCTGGACAATGTTAATATATATTTTTTAGTTTACTAGATACTCAATACCAGCGATTCATTACTTTGAATACGTTTTCTTGAAGATTTATACAGTGGATACATCTATTCGTAGTATTTATTGTCTTTTGCCAAATTTTCAGGGAGATAGTATTATTTACCCAGGACATACTTGAAAACGAGAGAAATCTCAATGTATCTTTCCTGGTTAAATATTTTACAAATAAATTTAGGTCATTGTTCCATGTCTTAATTGCCAGAATCCTGTCTGGTGTTTCACACTGTTGTAATAGCTTTATCTACCGCTTGTCATCTATATAACTGTTCAATTTTCAACATAAAATTATCTTGTCCTGTACTTTTTGTGATTTGTTTTTTAATTTTTAATTCGTAAATATGTAAAATTGTCCTTTTTATGTAGTGCGTATTGTGGGCTAAGCTGGCAAATGATTTAATATCAGGACCTTCTATTAATTTATCTTTTTTTTTTTCAATGCCAACCTCAATCCAACTATTCAACTGTATATCCATCATATTATGTTATAATTTCTAAATCTAAAGTTCTCAATATTGTATTATTTAAACTAAATATAGATTTTAATTTATTCCATGTTTTTAATAAATATTTAAAATTATATTAGATGTTAAATGTATTTCTGGGGACAGTCGAGGATCAATTTTCCATGGTATTCTGGATATTTTTTTTCCTATTGCAGGCAGAACACACCATTTTATACCATGCTTCTTGGTAATAGTCTTCAATGTGCATCATGTATAAATGGTATTAAGAGTTTGCATCATAATACTGTTTTATAAAAGGAAGTCTTAGACCGCCTTTCTTAATTTTTAATGCAAGAACCTTGGAGCTCAATCTTGGCTTCTTACTGGTCCATACAAATTTAGAGGCATAGAACTTTGAAACCTTCAGGGATATATGATTACATATCCACTTGGAAAGATATAAGACTTAAAAACATTAATCCTACCTAGTCATGACAGCGGCAAAATTTTCCATTCTTTAAAAGATTGATTTGTCTCTTTTAAAACTTTCTTGAAATTTTGTTCCATCAATAACTTAGAGTGAGATGTAATAATTAGTCCTAGGTAATTAAACTCTTCGAATACCTACTTAAAACAAATTCTCTTTGGCATGTAGCTAAGGTTTCTTTGAAGCATTTTTTGGTAGAATCATAGTTTTTTAATGTTCAATTCATAGTTAGAAACAAGTGTATAAGTTTGGAAAGAAAACATTAATGCTCTGAGAGATTTCAAAGGGTCGGACAAGGTTATTGCGATATCGTTCACATACCGACTAATCGTATTTTCATCCTGTCCTATATGATACCCTTTTATTTTGATATGCTTTCTTATATCAGTGGCTAGCAACACTTTTGTTAATATATATAACAAGGGTGACAATGGGCTTTCCTGTCGAGTACCATTATGAGAACCGATATGCTTGCATATTTTGACCCACCGTTCTGGCGGTATGAGTCAAATATTATGATCTAATAGAATTAAACATAAATCCTCAATTCCATAGTGACTCAAAGACCGAAACCTCCATTCCACATAGTCTTGAGGATGGTCAAACGTTTTCTCTGCGTCTATTGATATAGCCATTAGGAATATGAATTATCTAGCACATTAATTATCCTCCAAATATTATTATAAGATATTCTTGAGGCATAAATCCAATTTGATCACAATGGATTAATTGTAAGAGTATATGCTTCAGTCTCTGAGCCAGAATCACCACCATCAATTTGGCTTCAGAATTAATTATAGGTCTATAGTTTATTACCTTTTCTGGATTTTTCTTTGATTTTATTATAGGAAGAATATTGGCTTTTAGGAATTCCTCTGGGCAATGCCCCCTATAGCCCATTTCAGAATGTCTAGCATTATTTAAATGTATTAAACAGAACATACCTTGCCCTGCCACCTTATAAATCTGTTCAATTGGAAATCTCACAACCTCCTCAGTGATATATTTTTCAGCTGTTCCAGAAAAATATTTATTAAACATTCCTAATGGCTTCCATTCATGGAGATGATAGCGTTTGTGAGAGCTGGGATCCATTCTGAATGCCTGTGGTGTTCTATAATGATAATGTCACCAGCAAACTGTTATATACTTTGTTAATTAACATTATCAGTTAGTGGATCCTGTTGACTATCTGACACGAGACATAATCATGAGTCACTGCAAGTCAATATCAATACAGATATATTATGCTTATGACTTCAGCTGATGAAATGATTTATTTTTTAATTAATCGCTCAGATAAGTAAATAATTAATGAGGGCTTTGGAGACTTCTTTATCAAGAAATATAGAGTTATGGAAATACTGAGTTTTCACAGATATATCAGGGGCTATCTGCTCTGCAGAGGTTAGATAAGATCATATGCCCCATCCATCTACCCACCTGTTGTTGTTGGCTGTGTTCTACTTACATATCCTCAGCAGGGCAGTCTTATATTTCAAGGGTCTCCAGAATGCAGTGCAGCACACGAGAGATCATTTTATTGCAAATGAGTTTTGTTGAAACCTGCAAGGACAAGAAGATGCTGCAATATCCCTTTATAGGGGCATCTTTGTCATTCTGGTTTTTAACACACAAGCAGTTCTCCTTATCCACATTGTATGGTCTAATGTATCCAATTACTAACAACCCTGCATTCCCTGCAAGTCTTCACTTAAATTCTGTGGCAGAAATGCCTCTGCCACGTGTTCTTGGAGGGGCCTGCTTGCCAGCCTCCTGCCTCAGGACTATGGCCCCTGCAATAAACGTGGACAAATATACTTTAAAAAGGCTCATAAAATAATTCTGTTTGTGCCTTTTGCTATCCTGTTCGGGAACCGTACAGACGCACGAACCAGGGACCACCCGGGAGCTTGTTAACACTTATTAACACCTTGGAACGGTTCTCACCACAGTGTTCTAATTGTTTGTCTTGGTGGCCACAATTCCTATGGACAACCCCGAGTTGATGGCCATCTTGTTCACATGAATGCAGGCAGCGGTGTTTGGGCATGAATCTCATGGAACTACCACAGAAGCTCCCGAACACCGCTGGAATTCCATCATCGCCTGCGTTCGGTTCTATACAATTTTGATGGGCACTGTTCGGTGGAATTGTTCATCTGGATGAGGGGAACAAGCTCCAGGGTAAGAACATTGCCTATGTTTGGTAGTTTCTTTGTTTTTAAACTAGCGAACTAGAGCGTCCGCAAGCCCTGATTCTTTGGAACTATTTTGGGCACGGGACCATGCGTGCGGTGGGTTAAAAATAAGACTTCCAGGAAATTCCTGAACCCCTAAACCGATATTGGTGATTTTTGGATATGTTGTTCACCCAGATCGGGGCTATCAGGGGTTGTAACTGTGGGGGTTTTGTATGTTTTTTTTTATTTTATTTTTTTATTTGCATTTTGTAGTATCAACATACCATAGACCATCTTGTACATTAGGAGGCTGTAACAATGAATAGGAGTTGCAAACATATATCCAGTGGTACATATATCATAAGATTGCTACCAGTTGATACATTTGATACAGTTATAGTACAACAAACAGTACAACATTAACATAAGGGGGGGGGGAAAGGGGAAGGAATCGGAGGTGGGGGGGAGAGGAGGTTAGCATGCTCATTGAAGAGCAGATGGTGTTGTGCCTAACCCAGTGTGGTTCGAGTACTACTACGTGTCACTTATGTCAGGTTTGGACAGTATTGGTCAGTATGGTGGGTGGGTGGCTGGGTGTCGCTGTGGAGGCGGTCTGTGCCTCTCATTTTTGTATGTTTAGGTGGTGTCGTGTTGCGGTAACCCTTTGGTTGTCCCCGTCATGTACGCTTCCCACGTATCCCAGGCTGCCACTATAGATTGCTTTGGTGGTGCATTTTTACGTGCCATTAGTTCATATTGTCTCGTCATCTGTAGTGCTCTGATACATTGGGACAGGTGTGGTGGGACTTGGTTGCGCCATAGTCTGCTAATCGCCTGTAGTGCTGCTACAATGATATGGTAAATGAGGTATACTTGGGGTTTTGTGAGATTTTTGGGAAATAGTTGAAACAGATAGACTTCAGGTTTTTGTAGTAAGTGGACACCCGTGCTGTCTTGTATTAGTTGTGTTATATCGTCCCAGTAAGGTTTCAGTTTTGGGCATGTCCACCAGATGTGTATCATGGACCCTTTGCCGTCTGTACAACGCCAGCACTTGTCCGATATGTTTGGGTTCCCTTTGTTGAGCCTTGTTGGGACCATGTACCACCTGTATATTATTTTTCGCGTGATCTCTGTATGGGAGGCGCACAGTGAGAGATTCCTGTGTCCCTTAAATATTTGAGCCCATTGGCTCTCAGGTATGTGAGTTGTTAGATCACGGTCCCACGCTTTTGTGAAGGTGTAAGTATGTAGGCTTATTGTGGAGTTGTATATAGCGTAAACTAATGAGAAATTTTTTCTTTGGTTTTAGGTTGAGGCATATTAGTTCTAATTCTGTCATTTGTAGCCCAGCCTCCGGATGGTAAGAGCAAATTGTTTGTGTCCTAAGCCATGACGCTAATTGCCTATATGAAAAGTGAGCTGTGTCTGGAAGCCCATATTGTTTTTGGATCTCAGTGAATGTGTTCAAAGTTGGGCCCTGACATATGTGGTAGAGGTGTTTAATGTCATGATCGTGCCATATGCGAAGATGGAATCCCGGTATGATCAGGCCCAGTGTCTCCAGTGGTGTTGCTAGAGAGGTACCCCCTTTCATTATGTGCGTTTTCCCAAAGTGATCCCAGATTTGTAGTGTTAGTCTAGTGGTGGGGAGACTGTCCTTGTGTTTAGGCCGTAGTTTCCTAGACATCCAAGCCAGAGCGGGGATTGTGAAGTCATTTGTGTAACATGCGTCTATACGTACCCACTGTGGGGGGCTAGGGTTACCCGTAACTGCCAAGATCGGGCTTATCATGGTCGCTTTGTAGTAGTGAGCTATGTTTGGCAAGCCCATACCCCCTTTCTGAAGGGGTTTGTGTAGTGTAGCTGCTGCTATTCTAGGTTTAGTGTTGTTCCAGATAAACGAGGATACTAGAGTTTGTACTTCACTCAGGTAACGTTTGGGGATTGCAAGCGGGATGGTTCTGAACAGGTATTGTATTCTTGGAAGGAGCAGCATTTTCACAGCAGCTATCCTGCCTACCCACGATATAAATTTCCCTTTCCAACTGTGTACGAGGGATTTGAGCTCCGTGAGAAGTGGGATGTAATTCGCTTTGTGGATACCCGCCAACAATTTTGTCAAAGCTATTCCTAGAAATGTTAGTTTGTCCGTGCGCCATTCAAATGCAAAGTTCGTTTTAAGGTGGCTCAGCTCGGGTTGCGATAAATTGATGCCTAATGCTTGTGTTTTGGTGACATTCAATTTATAGTACGAGCATTTCCCATATTGGTGTATCAGCTGTTGTAGCGCTGTCAGGGAGGAGCTTGGGTTTTGTAGTGTGAGGAGGATGTCATCCGCAAATAACGCGATTTTATATTCGTCGTTTTTTACCTTAATTCCCTGAATCATGGGGTCCTTCCTAATCATGTGTGCGAGTGGCTCCAGGGCAAGTATGTACAGTATCGGGGATAAGGGGCAGCCCTGCCTAGTGCCATTTGAGATGTTGAAATTGCTAGAAGAGAAGCCCCCATTCACCACTTGTGCCGACGGGCAGGAGTATAGCGCTTCCACCAATGCCTTGAACCGTGGGGGGAATCCAAATCTCCCTAGGACCGCGCGGAGGAAGGGCCAGTGAAGGCGGTCGAACGCTTTTTCAGCGTCCAACGACACCAACACGCTCGGTGCTCCCCCTCTCCGTAGTCCACCCAGCAGGTCCAATACTTTCCTCACCCCATCCGCCCCCTGGCGGCCACTCACAAACCCCACCTGGTCTGCGTGCACTAGGGTAGGGATTATTGTTGACAGTCTGTTGGCATAAATTTTGGCTAATATTTTTGTGTCTGTGTTGAGGAGCGAGATTGGGCGTAAGTTCTGGCATCTATTTGGTTGTTTCCCTGGCTTAGGGAGAGTGGCTACGTGCGCCATTAGCATCTCCCTCGGCATTATACCCGTGGTAGTTATGTGGTTGTATAATGATGTCAGGTGCGGGGCCAATATGGTAGCAAAGGTTTTGTAGTAATAATTTGTTAGACCGCCTGGACCTGGGGATTTACCAGGCGGTAATGACGCGATGGTGTCGAGTGTCTCTTGGTTCGTTATTGGAGTTTGGAGTTGTTCTACTTGTGCGTGCGTTAATGAAGGTAGTTGTGTGAGGTCTAGGAAGTGTTTGATTTCAATATCTGTGGGTTGATGGGTCGCAGCGTCCTGTTTTAAATTATACAATGTGTGGTAAAATTTTGCCATCTCGTTGTTGATGTCTTGGGGGTTATACAGTTTTGCCCCGCTATTAGTGTGTAGGTAAGGGATTTTAGACTGGGATTGTTGTTTCCTTAGCATTGCTGCCATGACTTTCCCTGCCTTGTTACCCTGGGAGTATTGTCTTATTTTTAGGCGTTGCATAGTGTAGGATGATTTGGCTAGGTGAATGTCGTTCAGCCGTTTAGTAGCGGATTCTATGAGGGTGAGGTGAGCAGCGTTTGGGTTTAGTGCATATGCGGCCATGGTATCGCTAACTTTTCGAAGTAGTGTCATGTATTCCTCACTGGATTTACGTTTGATGTAAGCGGCTCTGCTAATCAACAGCCCTCGTATAGTCGGCTTGTGGGCCTGCCACAATGAGCCGGGGGATATGTCCGGAGTATTGTTGGTCTGGAAGTATTGTTCCAGATCCCGCATCAGTCGCGCCCGGAATGTAGTGTCGTGCAGAAGTGAGTCGTTTAGGCGCCAGGGTGGTCGCCCTCTATGGGGAAAGGAGTCGCTTAGGGTCACCGTGAGCGGTGCGTGGTCCGACCACACAATGTCTCCAATCTGACAGTGGGTGATTCTGGACGCCAGTGGCCCTGACACCAATACATAGTCTATTCTGGAGAACGACTTGTGTACCTGTGAGTAGTAGGTGAACTCTTTTTCCATAGGATGAAGCATGCGCC